ACACACACACACACACACAAAACCAACAAAACTTAAATGCACACACACATACACACACACACACACACACACACACACACACATTCAATTCCCAGCAGTATAGTTAAGACATTTGGTTCTAGAACCTGACTACTTAGGTTTGAAGTGGGAGAGAAGAGGAAAATGAAATTGAAGGGAGAACAACAATGAAAAATAGGAGACAATAAAAATCTTTATAATCTGGATCCTAATAATGCCTAATACACAAGTAGTACTAACATAACCCAGTTACCACACTCTGGTAATCTTTGCCCTGTGACCTTGATGAATTTCCTAGGGATCTAAATCAGTATCTCTTCTGCCTTCTCTTCCCCCTTTGCTTCCTTATGGGATTCCAGTTCCAAAATGAAGACCTAACTCTACTACCTGACACAGATAATGAAAAGGTGTTTTTCTCACTAAAGGAACAGTTTGGATAGGATAGAGTCAAGTAGATTGGCTTGGCATAAATACTTTTAGCCTAAAATACAGAAGCTATCAGGTAGCTAATTTCAAGGAACTTTTCTTCACTTTGGATCTTAGAAAAGCTTTGCAATCACCTATCATTTAATGCATCAAACTGTCAATATTGAAACTACTCAGTCCCAGGCCTTCACCTGAGGCCTCAATCCCTGGCTAGCACATTAGCACCCAGGAGCCAGTGAGATTACCAGGGAACAATACTCCCAGCTACTGAGATAATGCTAAATGCTGATAGCAATGAACATGCAAGCCAACAACAAGGATGCAAAAGACAAACTTTTGCCTTCTTATAGAGCAAAAGCCAATTAGCTCTGAGTAATTCCTAAAGGAGTCATCATATCATTTAAAAATAGTTCTGCAGACTCTGTGAAAAGAGAAAACGTAGGTCTCAAAGGGCATCATTACACTCAGGTCATACCATCTTTGTGGCATACTGAGTAACATGTATACTGTACACAGGGTAGTGTTCGGAAAGAGAAATCATTGTGATGCGTGGCAAGGTAAGCCACCAAACAGCAGAATATAGTAGGTTGGTGGTTCTCAACAGGGGGCAATTTTACCTTCTAGGAGACATTTACACATTGTTGGTTGTAATAAATGGTGCATGTAGGTGTGTGGAGGTTTGCTACTGATATCTAGTGGGTTGAGTTTAGGGTTATTGCTGACCATCCTACAATGCAAAGGAACCCCCTCCCTCCCAACACAAACACAAATAATTATCTGGAGCCAAATGTAGTTAAAGCACAAGGTTGCAAAACCCTGTTGTAGGTTAATCAGAGAAGTAAACTTAAATAGTAAGGCAGTGTTTCTTGCATTACAAAAGCTACCTTGTAAGAATGACTTCAGAGTTTTCTAGGGAGGATGATGGTCCATGAAGATTAACAATACCATTCTTTTAACTTTGTATATATTTGAAATTTTTCATAATAATGAAACATGAAAAGATCAGAGGGCATTCATATCTTTGACTCACCTCAAAATGGCAAAAGGTTTTTAAGAGTGCAAAAGTTATTGAAAATTGAATGATGTATTTTTTTAGTGGGTGACTTTAGAATTTAAAGTCAGACAAGATATTAAGAGATTGGATATAGGGGCTGGGATTGTGGCTCAGTGGTAGAGCGCTTGCCTGTTCTCAGCATCACGTATAAGTAAAATGAATAAAATAAAGGTGTATCAACAACTAAAAAAATATTTTAAAAAGAGATTAGATATAGCTGGTGAAAAACAGTAATAAAAAACTTAGAATACCCCAACCTATTCAGAATATAGTTTATCCCCTGAACAGTTTTTTTTATGCAAATGAATCTGGTTCATTTGACAAATGTGCCAAATTTAGAAGATACTAGTTCTAGAGTTCATGATTTAATATATGTGTGGAAGATTTCATTCATTTATTTTGTTAAATTTCTGCCAAATATGTATTTCTAATTTTTTTTTTATTTTGAAAATAGAACAGAAAATCCCTGCATGTCCTTCATCCTAATGGGAGGGTAAACTTTTCCTCTACTCTCCCAGTGTTTGATTATTGAGTCTATGAAATAAGTGGATAATAGATAATTGGAGAAAATGTGTATAAATTATGTGCACAGGGACATCACATGAAAGAAAAGTCAATTCCCAAATGTCCACTGAGATCTAGTAGCTTTTACACTCTCATAATAGTGGATAGTATAGGGGAGATGTAGGTAATTTAAGGAAAAATAAATTATTTTCGGGTAAGATGAATGGGTCCTCAGAAGAATAGGTGATAGGCTATGACAAAATCTGGGTATGGTGTTGACCTCCAGTCCTCTATCTCTGACAAGAGTTTAATTTTTTTTTTTCCAGGGATTGAACCCAGGGGGTGCTTAACCATTGAGCAACATCCCCAGTTCTTTTTATTTTTTATTTTGCTAAATTGCTTAGGACCTTGCTAAGTTGCTGAGGCTGGCTTTGAATTTGAAATACTCCTGTCTCAGCCTCCTGAGTTGCAACTCAAGTGTGCACCCCCACACGATTTTGAAGAGCGCAAGAGTTTTAGTTTTCCCTGATTGATGAGGATTTTCACAGAGAGGAATTCATGCCAGCTGAGTATTTTTCTGAAGGTCTGTCTTTAGGCAAATAAAAGAAGTCCAAAGAAACCCCCTCCCTAGATTTGTAGTTCCTAGAATGTGTTCAGTTTGAAGTAATGGCATACTAAATCAGTGTATTTTGGGGGGTAGTATTTCCTTAACTCCTTCAATCTGGAGTCTTCCTAAAGTGTTAACATTTCACATTTGTTTATTCATCCTACTAGTTTTGCTCTCTTTTCCCCCCTTTTCCTCTTTCTTTCACTTCAGCTGGACAATGTGCCACATCTTAACAAGGTTTAGAGGGAGAGATGCACATATCTAGCACACACCAGCTGGAACACCCAATCATCACTCTTTTGAACCAAAAATGCTTTCCTCTGAGTTTTTCTCTGAACCCTTTCCAAGTAAATTGCAAATCAATGATCCATTATCTCAGTAGTCTCAAACTTCCAATCTTCCTTCCTCAGCTTCCCTAGCAGCTAGGATTACAGGGGGCACCACCTAAGCAAGGCCACAATGAGTATTGTTTATTACAACAAGAAATTCCTTTGCAGGGCATGGTGGTACACTCCTGTAATCCCAGCGACTCTGAAGGCTGAGACAGGAGGATTGCATTATCAGTGTAGTGATTTATGCCAGGTGCAGTGGTGCACGCCTATAATCCCAGTGGCTCCGGAGGCTGAGGCTGGAGGATCACAAGTTCAAAGTCAGCCTCAGGAACTGTGAGGTGCTAAGCAACTCAGTGAGAACCTGTCTCTAAAATAAAAATACAAAATAGGGCTAGCGATGTGGCTCAGTGGTCGAATGCCCCAGAGTTCAATCCCTGGTGAAAAAAAAAAAAAAAAGAAAAGAAAAAAAGAAAAAAATGGCTCAACGCCCCACCCCTTCAATCCCAGCACAGGGGGTAGGGGGAAAGAAAGAAAGGTTTTCTTAGTAATCACAGTCCAAGCATTGCAATTAACACTAATATAATATTATTACTTGATCTACAGGTATTCAAATTTGGTCAGTTCTCCCATTAAAGCTCTCTTAAAAAAATCTATTTATTTTTATGTGGTGCTGAGGATGGAGCCCAGTACCTCACACGTGTGAGGCAAGTGCTCTATCACTGAGCCACAACCCCAGCCCCTCACTAATGCTCTTTACAGCAAATGAAAAAAAAAAAAAACTTGCGGAGATTCAGTTATCATGTTTCTTTTATTTTATTTTTATTTTATTTATTTATTTATTTTTTTTATTGGTTGTTCACAACATTACAAAGCTCTTGACATATCATATTTCATACATTAGATTGAAGTGGGTTATGAACTCCCAATTTTACCCCAAATGCAGATTGCAGAATCACGTCGGTTACACATCCACAATTTTACATAATGCCCAATTAGTAATTGTTGTATTCTGCTACCTTTCCTATCCTCTACTATCCCCCCTCCCCTCCCCAGTTATCATGTTTCTTGTCTCTATTAATCTGGAAGAATTCCTTGATCTGTCTTCCATGACATTGACGACTTTGAAGAGTGCAAGCCAGTAATTTTGTATATTGTCCCTCAACATGGGTCTGTCTCACAGTTTCCTCATGCTTAAATTCAGGTTATGTAATTTTGGGGCATGATTAATATGAAAAATTTGATTAGTGTTTTTCCTAGCACCTTATCAGGTGTCATATGATGTCCCTTTGTTCTATTTTTGGGGACATTTACTTTTTTGGGATCAAACCCAGGGTCTTGCATATGCTAGGCAAGGGCTTTACCTGCAACTTCACCATCAATCTTGGAGAAATTATTTTTACCACATGGGATGATGTCTGTCATGTTTTCCCATTGTAAAGATTCCACTTTGACCTTTGTTATAGTATCTTGTGGAGCGATACTTTGAGACAATGTAATGTAAATATTTTGTTTCTCATCATACTTGCACCCCCTAGGTTGGCAGACACAGCAGGGGGTCAGAACTCAAGGCTCCTGTGTTTCCCAGGGATAGATTGTATCCCTTGTGTTAGCATATTGCTTGGCACATGATAAATGGTCGCTTCCCTCCCCAATTAATTTATTTTATCTCGGCAGTTAGCAGAGTTGTAATTTATCTACTTCTATTCCTGTCTTTCACAGATTGTGAGCTCATTGAAGGTAGACGAAGTGGCTTATTTTTCCCCAGTGTCTAGCACGTATTGGGTGCTTGAAAAATACGTGTTCGAAATAGTGGTCTGGGGTAGATATTACGCAAGACGGTAAGGGATACGAGTCGGCCGGGGTGTGGCATTTGTTCTGTTCTAAAGGGAAGCAAAGGCGAGGACGGTGCGGGGCGCGGCCAGCGTAGTCACTTTGCAAAGGGCCCAGGAGTCTCTGCTACTTGGTTGGCTGCTGGGCCTCAGGCTTCCGCAGGGTGGGAAGGAAGGTGGGGCGGGAAATCGAAAACCGAACTTGCAGCTCCCGGCATTCCCCGTGGGCGGTACTCCCCTTTGACCCCTCGCTCGCGTGCTACACATCCGGGCCTCTGTTACTAGTGAGGGGAAGATGGCGGCCGCAACTGTGGTGGTTCCCGCAGAGTGGATAAAGAACTGGGAGAAATCAGGGAGAAGCGAATTGTGAGTATTCGGGCCAGAGGTGGGCGCAGGGCCTGGCCGAGACAGGGCGTCGGCCATACACTCAAGTGTGGTGGGAGGTTGTGAGTGTCGGGGGGGAAGATGTGCCCCCTCCCCCACCCGGTGGCGGGCGTGGATGGTTGGCTAGGAGTTTCGAACTCTGGGAGGAGCGGTACTGGTAACTGCCGTCGGCCTCCCTCCTTCCTTGACCTCCTCCAAATCCCTGCTGTCCGCAGCAGGTCAGCTTCCTTTGGCCTCTTAGCAGAACTCTTGTTTCGTCCCTGCCGGTCCCCACGCTCCCGCTCTGTCTCTTTTTGTCCCCCTCTTCGCTTGAGCTCACTTGGCTCCTTTCTTTTTATGGGTCTGCGCCGGAGCGATTCAGACTTTTCATTTTTTTCTGTTCCATTTCTTCACTCTGCGCCCGTTCGACTCCGCAGTTTGGAGCCTGCCGCCTCCTTTGCACGAAGTCCGAGGAGGGTGAACCGTCCCGGACTCTCCCCTTCTCTCCGCCCGCCGCCGAGAAGCCCGGGGCGTCGTGAAGAGCCCCGTTTGGCACCTCTGGTCCTCCGGGGGAGCGGTGTCTTGGACTGTCCCGGCCTTGCGCAGCGCCACGGGCCGTGGGGAAGAGTGGCCGCTATTGCCGTTTCCCCGAAGACCTATCGGCATTTCTTTGCTCCGTCTTTTCACCTTGGAGCTATTTCGGGTTGGATTCAACTTTTGTCATTGAACGTTTCCTAAAACCCATTTTGTCCTGGGACTGTAACTAATTCTGGCAACTCTCCAAGCTTCTCTAGCACCTAGGATAACGCGTTTCCTTTAGTCACAAAACTTATTTTTCTTTTCGGTAATACAACAGTAGTTTGCCATACCGGCGATTTCCTCGCCCATAATTTCAGAGCTCCGCCCCTCCCCCCGAAAAAATTGTTTAAGCAGTAAAACCACAAATTTAAAACCAAATAATTTAGTTCTACTTTCCTTCTGAATCGCTTTAGAAGCTAAAGGTCAACCTTGTATGATATTAATTCTTGTTAGTCATTTTGGTCGTCCCCCCAATTCCAGTAACCAGTTTACTGTTGCTGGTAGGAAAGATACGAATCTTTGGAACTTTGTTGCTTGGAACCAAGCGCCAGGAACGCGTTGCCCGGTCTTGCTCTTGTAATGTTGCCAGCCTATATTATGGCTTACTCTCCCCGCCCCCCCC